AAAATTATTCAAATAAATATAAATAAATTAGTTAAAAATGCCTATAGTTTAAAATAACTTTAAATAAAAAAACTTAATTATACTTGATTCAAACACAATTTTTTATATCTTCCTTATTGTATACTTAAAATTATTATAATATTGGGTACAACTTAGTACAATTTTTTATACTCAAGTGTTTATGTTCAATGTTCTTCTGTGTGCTTATTAGGCTGAAATGTAGTTGCAGAAATCATATTTGTGTTTGATTTGGATGAAGCAGTAAACACAGAAGAAGCATCTGATTCATTGCAAGAATTAGGGGTTGTTTGTTTACCTCTTAATTGTAAATTAAGAGGCAATGTCTTAAAAATTCAGATTCAAATCGTTTGTTTACGTCTTATTTTTTACCTCTTAAAATTAAAAATACCTCTTAATTTTTCAGAGATGGAACAAAGTATGAATTAAAAAAAGCACATGTTTCTTTTGTTTGCCCTAACACATAATCGCATACCCGCCTCCTCCTGCGTCTTCTTCCTGCGATACGACTTCTTCCCCCTTCGCGTATGCTTCCCTTCCCAACTATATACTCCGACGACGCCGCTTAACGACGCCGCCCAACCAAGCAACGCCGACGGTGCTGCAACCGAAGGAGGACGACGCTGCTGCACCTTCTCGCTGCTGAAAATCGATAGGTTTGTTATTCCTTCTGAAAATTGATTGTTGTTCTTTGTTTCTTCCTTCTTTCCCCCCCAAAGTCGAAAATCAAAAAATCGAAAATAAGTGGTTATGTTATGCTAATCAGATTTTATCAATCATAATCTATAGTTGATGTTATGCTTTGATTTTGATGGTATACGATCGAATTTGAATGTGTTAAAGGGATATGATGAAATGTTGTTGAATTTTTGATGTTATGCTTTATTTTTTATACTCAAGTTTTTATGTTCAATGTTCTTCTGTGTGCTTATTAGGCTGAAATGTAGTTAGAGAAATCATATTTGTGTTTGATTTGGATGAAGCAGTAAACACAAAAGAAGCCTCTGATTCATTGTAAGAATTAGGGGTTGTTTGTTTACCTCTTAATTGTAAAATTAAGGGACAATGTCTTAAAAATTCAGATTCGGATCGTTTGTTTACGACTTATTTTTTACCTCTAAAATTAAAAATACCTCCTAATTTTCCAGAGATGTAACAAAGTCTGAATTAAAAAAAGGGAAAATGACATAAAACCCCTTAAGTTTTCACAAAAATGTCAGTTTACCCTTGGACGTGTTTTATGTTCAGTAAAGCCCGAACTTTTGTTTAATTTGTTTATTTTTACCCTTGTAGTCGGTTTTCAGGTAACCTACCGATTACCTAATACCAATAAAGCTTTTAAATTTTCAAAAATGCTCAGATTTGTCCTTATGTTTTTCAAAAATGTTCGGATTTACTCTTACATTGATTGTTGTTATTATTATTATTATTATTATAATTATTATTATTATTATTATTATTATTATTATTATTATTATTATTATTATTATTACATTTTTAATTATATAAAAATATTTTATACATACATTTTTAAATGTATAAAAATATTTTATACACACATTTTTAAATGTATAAAAATATTTTTACTAATATAAATATATTTTTAAAAATATATGTACTTGTATTTAGTATTTATATACATCTGAAAACCCTAAATCTTCATCTATAATTGTTAAATCGAACAAAAAAAGCTTGATAAAGTAAAAAATAGCGTCAATGATTGATTTTGCAAAAACAAATGCTTCAGATCAAATATAAAAAATGATGCATTTCGTGATCTTTTTTTGTGAACTTACAACAAACATAAATGAAGTTTGCACTCATATTTGACATTTTGTTATCAATTTTGGAGATAAAAATAGTTAATGAATGATTTTAAGTTGTTAATATGTAATTTTTACAGTGATCAAGTGTTTTTGTCGAGGGTTTTTTTTAATTATATTATGTATTTTCCATTTACGAGTGTTATTTGTTGATAATTTATTGTTATCTACTCACTATTAACCTAATATAGTTGAATAATAGAGGTTTTTTCAAATTTTATACTAAATCTTATCTGTAATCGAGTGTTTTTTAAGGTTTTCTAATTACGAGGGTTTTATAATTGTTACGTTATGTTTTTAATTAACGAATATTTATTTTGCTTATCTATTTAGTATGATGTTTGATAATAAATACATGACAAAACTGCACAAATGGTCCCTGTGGTTTGTCAAAAATTGCCACTTTGGTCCAAAAAAGTTTGGGCTAGCACCAGAGGTCCAAAGTTTTCATTTTGTTGCTTGTTCGGTCCAATCTATTATGATTTTTTTCAAAATGACGGATTTACCCCTGTGAATATGATTTTTCTTTTTTTCTTAATTGTTTTTCTGATTTTCAGATTTAAAAAAATAAAATTAAAGTTAAATCTCTCTCTCTCCTCTCTCTGTTCTCTCTCTCTCTCTCATCTATCTCTTTCTTTCTGTCTCTCTCTCTCTCATCTCTCTCTTTCTTTCTCTCTCTCTCTCTCTCTCTCTCTCTCTCTCTCTCTCTCTCTCTCCCTCTCTCAATTTTATAAAATCAAATCAATTTTACCATGAATTGATACTGAATGTTCATTTAGAACAAATAGGGAAAACCATACAAAGAAAAAACCCAGAAGAAACTCTTAGCTCCCACCTCCATCGTCTCCATCGTGGTCCTCTTGCTCCGCCACCCATTTTCTCGTTGAAACCCACCTCCAACGCCAATATCATTTTAGCAGCGACATCAATCTTCGCCGCCATCTCCCTCATTCTTCAAATTATCTCCTCACTGGTGCTTGTTAGCAAGAAGCGTGCTCCAATCTGAATGTATTGACTGGATTGTGTTTGTAATTAACAGGGAAGCAGAGTAAGAAAGGTGATAGATCTGATCGACTTCAAGTAGCAAGGGCTCAACAACATCGTGTCAAATTATCTCAAATCTTGGGTTCTAAAGCACCCAACTATTGACGGAGGCAGAGATGGGTGGTGGTGTTGGTTGGAATATGAAGAGAGGAAGAAGATGATGTTCATGAGGAAGAAGACTGGTGCACTCCAGGTGCTCGACCTTATGTCTAGCTTAGTCTTCGGTCCAATTCCTCCATTAATTGGCTCTCTAAATCAACTCAATCTTCTACATCAGCACATAGACGAAGTATACAGTGAGTTGTAGATAGTTGATGAACCTAGTACCCAGCATAGTAGGTGAAGATTCGTTCAAGTTGTAGGGCCAGTGTCGAATCACAGCAGCAACTAGCTGGAGAATCATGTGCTGGGGCACAGTGACAGTCTGATTTCCAGACCGCAGGGTTGAACGGAGCCATGGTGTTCGGCCTTCGGTTTGTAACTGATATAGGAATCGGTGGTTCAATTGGTATTTGGGAGTCGAAGAAAAAAGGAGTGACGAGAAGGAAGATCGAAGAAAGAGATAGAGGAGAGAGGAGAGAGAAAGAAATAGATAGAGAGAGAGGAGAGAGAGAGAGAGAGAAAGAGAGATTTAATTTTAATTTTATTTTTTTTAAATCTGACAAATCAGAAAAACAATTAAGAAAAAAAGAAAAATCATATTCACAGGGGTAAATCCGTCATTTTGAAAAAAATCATAATAGATTGGACCAAACAAGCAACAAAATGAAAACTTTGGACCTCTGGTGCAAGCCCAAACTTTTTTGGACCAAAGTGACAATTTTTGACAAACCACAGGGACCATTTGTGCAGTTTTGTCTAAATACATATTTATACTTGGTAATATGTACAAATACATATAATTATATCTTTTATATAATATAAACCATATAAATATGCATTTTTATATTTATATGTATATAATATATTTTTATATGAAATAAATATATATTTATACTTATACCCAAGGTTCTAAAAAGCTCGCCATGGCTCCGCCATGGCACGCCACGACTCCAAGGCTTGCATCTGCCGTCAAGCTTTGCCAAAACGCCGCCTTACCTCATATATGTGTATAAAAATGAATAATAACTGAAAATACATATAAAAATATTAATTATATAGAAAATTGCCGCCTTAAGTCACGCCTTACAAACGTTATGAGTCGCCAAGGCTCGGAAAAGCGAGTCGTCAAGGCTCGGAAAAGCTTGAGGCATGATATTACCGTCAAGTCACGCCTTACGTTATTTAGAACCTTGCTTATACCTACTAAATACAAATAAATATATTTTAAAAAATATACATTTAAACATGTATTAATAATAATAATAATAATATGTATAAAAATATATTAAAAACGTATGAATTTTTTTTATTCATTTAAAAATATATGTAAAAAATATTTTTAAATCCTAATATTTTTTAAAATTCAAAGTTTTACTGATATTAGGTAACGGGTTGGAAGTTAAAAAATCAAATTAAAAAACCTTCCGGTTGTAGTCGACATAAAACACGTCCGACGTTTTTGTGAAAAGTCAATTTCCCTTAAAGAAGCAGGCGTTTCCTTTTTTTTTTTTTTTTTTTTTTTGCCCTAACACATAATCGCACACCTCCTCCTGCGTCTTCTTCCCCCTTCGCGTCTGCTTCCCTTCCCAGCTACATACTCCGACAACACCGCTGAACGACGCCGCCCAACCAAGCAACGCCGACGGCGCTGCAACCGAAGAAGGACGACGCTGCTGCACCTTCTCGCTGCTGCAAATCGACAGGTTTGTTGCTCCTTCTGAAAATCGATTGCTGTTCTTTGTTTCTTCCTTCTTTCCCCCCAAATTCGAAAATCAAAAAATCGAATTTGAATGTGTTAAAGGGATATGATGAAATGTTGCTGTTGAATGTGTTCTTTTGGTTTAGTATTCATGATACATGTATCTTAATGCTAAATTGCTAATCACTTAATACTTTTAAAAATAATTAAAGTGGTAAAAGCACATTGCAATAAATTCTTATACATTGCAGTCCTTACTTAATGTGCACTGAATGACTTTCTGCCATTGTTTAAGTAACAGGTAAGCTGATTAAATGATGGAGCGACAAAGGGACAGAGATGGAGATGATAAATATAAGAGAAGAAGAGATGATGATAGATACAGGAGTGAAAGAGACAGTCAAGATAGGAGGCTCAACAATAAGAGTGATGAAGAAGATGCAGATGGTAGGAGGGGACGAGATAGGAACAAGGAAATTGTTAAGGATAGGAACAGGAATAGGAGTGATGATGAAGATGCAAATGATAGGAGGAGAAGAGATAGGAGGCGTGGTGATGATTATGCTAATGATAGGAGGAGGAGAAGAGATGACTGGAGTGACAATGAAGATAAAAATGATAAAAGGAGAGACAAAAAGAAAGATAAAGGTAGGGATGAGGAAGATGATAATGACAGGAGAAGAGGAAGGAGGGATGATGCTGATGAAGATGGTAATGATAGGAGGAACAAGGAAAGGAATGAAGATAGGAGGAAAAGAGGTAGGAGCAAGGACATAAGGAGTGATGATGAGGATGGACATGATAAGAACAACAGAAACAAGAAAAGAATTGATGATCAAAGTGATGAAGAAGTTGGTGAAATCAGGATAACAGGGAAAAAGAATGAGGACATAAGTGATGAAGAAGATGGTGAGATCAGGAAAAGTGGTAGAAAAGGGAAGTATGATGATACGAGTGATAAGGAAATTGGTGAAATCAGGAAGAGAGGGAGAAAGGGTAAGGATAAAAGGAGTGATGATGAAGATGATAAATACAAAAGGAGAAGGAATAGGAACAAAGATGAAAAGAATGATGATGAAGATGACAGGAGACAAGATTATAAAAGGGACAGAAAGAGGAATGGTGATCATAAAGATAGAAGAAGAACTGATGATGATGATGTGTCAAAGCATAAAGGGGATGAAAATGGGGATAAAGAAAAACCTGATGAAGGCCCAAGATTCCAAAAGCTAGCTGATTTGCAAGAAGGCATGACTAATTTAGGAAAGAGTGGAGGGGTGTATATTCCACCATTTAAGTTGGCTCGTATGATGAGTGAATTTCAAGATAAAAGCAGTATGGAATATCAAAGAATGACATGGGATGCGTTAAGAAAGAGTATAAATGGTTTGGTCAACAAGGTCAACGCCACAAACATCAAAAACATCATCCCAGAGTTGTTTGCTGAAAATCTGATAAGAGGAAGAGGACTTTTTTGTCGATCATGCATGAAGTCCCAAATGGCATCTCCTGGTTTTACAGATGTTTTTGCAGCTCTGGTTGCTGTTGTAAACACCAAATTCCCTGAAGTTGGAGACCTTCTGCTCAGAAGGATTATCTTGCAGCTTCAAAGGGCATATAAGAGAAATGACAAGGTGCAAGTTGTTTGTTTCATCTACCTGTGACTTCTTTTTTATGAGAATTAGTATATTTTTTGTATTTATACTGACACAAAGTGTTTTCACAGCCTCAATTACTTGCTGCAGTCAAGTTTATAGCTCATTTGGTCAACCAACAAGTAGTTCATGAGCTTATTGCTCTTGAACTACTCACAACTCTACTAGAAAATCCAACTGATGATAGCGTGGAGGTTGCTGTTGGTTTTGTTACAGAATGTGGATCAATACTTCAGGATCTATCTCCCCGAGGTTTGCATGGTGAGTATTAATATTATTAGTATTTTTTTTTTCTTTATCTTCTAAAAGTACATTGTTCTTTTGATTTGTCATTGTTGACATATATTGAATTCCCTTTGTTCTAAATTATTCAGGTATCTTTGAGCGATTTCGTGGGATTCTTCATGAGGGAGAGATCGACAAAAGGGTGCAGTTCTTGATTGAAGGTCTATTTGCATTAAGAAAAGCCAAGTTTCAGGTTTAAAATCTTAAAATCTTGTCATATCTTATTACTATTGACAACTAAAATATATATATTTAATCTCCAAACATGTTACGTTTGCTTTACTACACAGGGGCATCCAGCTGTACGTCCAGAGTTGGATCTTGTTGAGCTGGAAGATCAGTTGACACATGAAGTATCTCTTCTAGATAAAATTGATCCAGAGATTGCCCTAGGTACCTAATTTATTTATAAATGAATTTTCCATTATGTAGGTGTAAAGTGTATAAAAACAGTATTATTTGTTGTTTGTAGATATTTTCAAGATGGATCCTGATTTCATTGAGAATGAAAAGAAGTATGAAGACCTGAAGAAAACAATTCTTGGCGATGAATCTGAAGAAGAAGGTGGTGGGGAGGATTCAGATTCAGATTCAGATTCAGATGATGAAGATGAATCTTCAGAAGAAGAAGAAGATGAAGAGCAAATGAGAATCAGAGATGAAACAGAAACAAATCTTGTCAATCTTCGAAGAACAATCTACCTAACAATCATGTCAAGTGTTGACTTTGAAGAAGCCGGTCATAAACTCCTCAAAATCAAACTCGAACCCGGACAGGAGGTAAGAAGAATGGAATCATTCATTCCATTCCGAATTCGATACAATTAAACTAAAAGTCTAAGTTTTGGTTGTGCACAGATGGAGCTATGCATAATGCTACTGGAATGCTGCAGTCAAGAGAGAACATATCTTCGTTACTATGGTCTTTTAGGTCAAAGGTTCTGCATGATCAACAAAGTCTATCAAGAAAACTTTGAAAAATGTTTTGTTCAGCAATACTCCATGATCCACCGCCTCGAGACCAACAAACTCCGGAATGTCGCGAAATTCTTCGCGCATCTCCTCGGCACTGACGCCTTGCCTTGGCATGTCTTGGCTTACATCCGTCTCACTGAAGAAGACACCACTTCCTCTTCTAGAATCTTCATCAAGATCCTCTTCCAGGTATTTTTACTTTTACTTTTTTCTTTTTAATTATTATTATTATTAAAAAAAATTACCTTTTTACCCTTTTCCTTACAGGAGCTGTCTGAGCATCTTGGGATTCGGCTGTTGAACGAGCGGTTGAGTGAGCCGGTGATGCAAGAGGATTTTGAGTCGATTTTCCCGAGAGATAATCCCAAGAACACGCGTTTTTCCATCAATTTTTTTACTTCCATTGGGCTTGGTGGGATTACCGAGAATTTGAGGGAGTATCTCAAGAAGATGCCGCGTCTTATCATGCAACAAAAGCCTGTGTCGGAATCCGATTCCGGTTCCGGTTCTGATTCCGATTCCGATTCCGGTTCCGATTCTAGTTCGGAGAGCGAGAGTGAGAGTGATCATAAGAGCAGCAAGCGCCGAAAGAAACGTTAGCATGTTTACATGTATTGTTGTTTATGTTGAGAAGAAATTGAATATCTGGTTGCATGAAAAGATGTTAAGGACTATTTGTTTTTGGAGGTTTGTTCTATTTGATTGTAAAGTTATATGATTTTCAGCAAACTGGATCTCAATGTGTAAAATCTGTAATGGTTTTGTGATTTTGTTTTTAAAGAATTTTTTTTTTATGGGAGATCAATTTTCAGAAAGCTTAAAAGAACATGGAAAATTTGTTGAGGTTTATACATGGATCAACACAACTCACAACTTGGTGACATGTTGAAACTAAAGTTTCTGATGCAATCCATAGACAACATTTATGCAATTAATAAATATGGGAACATGCAATGTAAAAATTATAAGTTGTATCATGTCATTTAATTTGTGTTATTTGTATTAACTAATTATGTGGTAGCAAGTTTACTAAAAGTGCATTGGTATTTATTGTCGTTTTGTTTTAACCTTCCTATCTTCAAAGACCACAAACACATTGTCCATTTATTTACTCCCTTCTTTTCATCTAATGCTATTCTGTTGTTATCCAGGTATTCTTGAGCCTTTTCGTGGGATTCTTCACGAGGGAGAGATAGACAAAAGGGTTCAGTTCTTGATTGAAGGTCTTTTTGCATTAAGAACATGCCATCCAGCCATTCATCCAGAGTTGGATCTTGTTGAAACTGACACATAAAGTATCTCTTCTAGATAACGATTCAAATATTTTCCATGTTTTTCAATATATGGCTGTATAACACTATCTCTTGTGCATTGTAGATGTTTTCAATCTGGATTCTAATTTCCTGGAGAACGAAAAGTGATATGAAGATTTAAAGAGAAGCATTCTTCGCGATGAATCCTCATCTGAGGATGAAGAGCATTCTGATGATGTGTCTTCAGAAGAAAAGAATGAAGAGCAAATGAGAAGAAAAGAATTTGAGAGAGTATTTGAAGAAGTCAACACATGATATTCTAATTCTGATTCTTGTAGTGGTAGTGAGGGGAATAATAATTAGGATCTTGACACATAATGATTTTGATACCTTGTTACATGAAGATGTTTATAAGTAGGAGTTGTTTTTGAGGATTCTTCTATTTGATTGTAACATTATGATTTTCTTCAAGCCAATGTATTACTTGATGGATACATGACTTCATACAGGTACATATGCAGTGATGTTTCTTTTTAACTTAATATATTCAGCCTGCTTTATTTGGTTAAGTGACATTTTTACTTTTCTTGAGTCTATTCTAAAGAAATATAAACAATTGAATCTGTTATGTGTAGAAATATAAAAGTACATAAGCCTATAAACACTTAATTGCATAAGACAAGTTGGATCACATTATTTTGGTGATATTACCAACCACATTGTTTACAACACCCACTTTACAAAAAGAAAACAAAAAGTAATTAAAAGGGCAAATCATCAAAATGACTAAAAGGGGCTAATACAACATGTCTACTATTCACAACACATCGTTTAAAACTAATTTGAATTAACGGCCTTTACAAGGTTTGACTTAGACCCATGTAGCATCTTTTTTTAATTTCAACAATATCATCTTATTTGACTTCTTTCTTATTGTCTGCAATTTCGAAGGTTGCGTTTAATCAATAACTTATTCTTTCAACTCATCTTCTTGTGTTTCACTAGCATATCCTGTGGTATCCATGTTGGGGTTTGATGCATTGTAAAACAAATAAATAAAAGTAAAAACTACTTACTATCTTTTGAAACTATTGCGTATAACACCGAACCAAGGTTTTAGATTATTCACATAATTATGCCACTACAAAATTAATAAAAATATTATAGGCTTAATTTATATTGTACCTTTCTTTTTCCTTTTTTGTTTATCTCTTGAATGCATAAACTTTACACTTAGTTAGAAACAATGTTTTACTTAACATAAATGTTTCTTCAAAAAAGGGATAATGTCATAAAAAACCTTAAGTTTTACAGAAAATATCGGTTTTACCCTTCGGCAGATTTTTGGTTCATTTATACCACAAACTTGTCATTTTTTTGTCGGTTTTGCCCTTGTTACCTGCAATAGCAGGTTTCAAGGTTATTATGAATTATTTTTTGCGAAAAACCCTTAAATTTACAAATATTTTACAAAAAACCCTTAAGATTATAAACATATAAAATATAAATATATATTCAAAATTTTATAAAACTAAATAGTTTTCTACTGAAACATATTTTTAGCTTTATGTACGATATTTTATATTTGTTTGATATAAAGTTTTTATATTTAAATTTTAAAAAAGTTACCTAGTTTTATCAAAATTTAAATATTTATTAAATAATACTTAAACTTTTCAAAGTAACATTAAAAAACATCTGTTAGCTAATAATAATATAACATTAGTGACATTCAATTAATTTTTTTTAAAAGAAAAATAAAAATATTTTATATGTTTAAAAGGTTTGAATTTCAGAAATAATAAACTATCATATTTTATATAAAAATAAATATATTTATATAATAAATTAGACAAATATATTTATATTTTATATGTTTAAAATGTTTATATTTATTTTTGATGTTTAACATGTTTATGATATTTTTATAAAAAAAAATATGATAGTATTATTATGTATTTAAACATATAAAAAATACGATATGTTAGTATTTCTGAAATACAAACCTTTTAAACATATAAAATATTTTTATTTACCTTTTAAAAAAATTAATTGAATGTACATGATACCATATTATTCATAATAACTATTTTAGCATAATTACTTATTAACTAACAAATGTTTTTTAATTTTGTTTTGAAAAGTTGAAGTATTAATTAAGAAATATATTCAAATTTTGTTAAAACTAGGTAAGTTTTTTAAAATTTAAATATAAAAAGTTTATATCAAACAAATATAAAAGTTACCGTATGTAAAGCTAAAAATATATTTTAGTAGAAAACTATTTAGTTTTAAAATTTTTTGAATATATATTTATATTTTATATGTTTATAATCTTAAGGGTTTTTTTTGCGAAATATTTGTAAACTTAAGGGTTTTTTTGCAAAAAAATAATTCATAATAACCTGGAAACCTGCTATTGCATGTAACAAGGGCAAAACCAACAAAAAAAATGATAAATTGCGGTATAAACGAACCAAAAATCTGCCGAAGGGTAAAACTGATATTTTCTGTCAAACTTAAGGCTTTTTATGACATTATCCCTTCAAAAAATGTTTAAAATAACATATTACACATGTGCACAATACTCAACTTTTTACAAATTATACTTTCAAGATAAAAGTTATTTTGCGAAACGTGTAATTTTTGCAAATCAAATTTCCGCAAAAAAAAATGGATGGTGTCCTATCCACCAAGTGACTATCGGTTTAAATAACTATCACATTTACCGAGCATATAATTAAGACGAACATTCACAAATAACAACAATTTTTTTTTTTTTTTTTTTTTTGCAAAAACCCACAAACCATACAACATTATGTTAAATAATTTAAACATAACTTGAAAAATGTGAAATTTAATATTTTGCAAAATAATTTATGAATTATTCTTATTTTGCAAAATGACACTATATATATAAACAAATATTGAGTGTCGGAATTCTTTTATGCAAACACAAGATAATTAAACCATAAATTGTACAACTTTTAAATTTTGGATTCAACACTGCGTTCTTATCAAGTGGCAGTTGGAGTTTTAATTTGGCGATGACGATTATAAATGCAGTTATATTATTTTCAAAAAGTATGCAAATCATACGAATCATTTTATATACTAAATAGGTAATTTTAATCAAATTGTAAGGATGATTTTTGTAATTTAAATATCATATAGAATACATTCCGTATGAATTAAGAAATGAACATGTGTCAATTTTTTATTGGTTAGTAACTTGATGCTCTAGTTATTTATTTTCCATTGAACGGTTTTCATATATATATATATATATATATATATATATATATATATATATATATATATATATAGAGAGAGAGAGAGAGAGAGAGAGAGAGAGAGAAGAGAGAGAGAGAGAAAGTTATGTTCATATATAATCCATAATTATTGTGTGAATGTATAATCAAATTTTAACCATTAGATTAAACGAATGAAATGTTGTGATCTTAGGGTACATATTACTTACATGGACTAGCATATAGTATATAATTACATTTAATAAGGATAACATGTAAATTTTATTAATTGAATTAATTATTCTTAAATTTAAATTCGTGTAATTATGGAATATAATTCAATTTTTAAATAACTACCATGTTTAATCACCTATAATTTTGGCCAGATATCCTAACCAAAAATATTCACCGTCCTAAATTTCTTTCACGTCATCATCTCTTTTCCACCATCAAGAACACACTACCGACCATCAACAACACAATCACCATCGCCAACTACCAAGGCCAATTTCAGAATTATACACCACACTTTCGTCGGGTACTGGTACACCATCTAGCCACCACTGGTTGCCCTTCACCGGCGTGAGATCTTCTCACAGCACACCGCCATTCACCACCAATTAATTAAAGATTCAAAATTGTTATTTTTCCTCCAATTTACTTCGCATCAAACTACATTCATCTCCTATTTTCTACTTTTATGGTGTTTTAAGGTATTAGAGTAGTGATGTTCTTTGTTATTCCTCTCATATACATATAACTATTTAAATTAGGGATGAGCAGCGGAAGCGGGTACCTGCTTTCGAAACCGGAACCGCCTCTGAACTGCCGGTTCCGGAACCGGAACTGCCTTAGGCGGTTCCGGTTCTGGTTCCTAAAGTCTCGAAACCGCCTTAGGCGGTTCCGGTTCCAATTCTCATTTTTAAAAAACCGATACCCGCTGGATACCCGCCGGTTCCGGTTCCAATACCGGGTACCCGGAACCGGCGGTTAACCGGAACCGGTACCGCCGGGTACCCGCTCTTTAAAACATATATTTAATATATATATATATATATATATATATATATATATATTATATATATATATATAATATTTATATTTATATTTTGGAAAAAGAAGTGGCGTAAAGACTAAAGCGTAATTGCCTTATCATTTTTAGGGTTTGTGACTGAGAATTCATTCTCACCAAAAAATCGCAGACACTCATACACTCACACTCCCGTCTCACAAATCGCAAATCGCAATCGTAAGCACCGACACTCAGATTCGTTTACTCGTTTGATTTGCTGGAGTAGAAGACGAAGATGGACTCGTTCGATTCTTAAGCCCCGCTTTGTCATTGATCGCTCACGTTGTTCCCCGTCTTCAATCGACGAACGAAGAAAGTTAGAAACCCAATTTCCGACCAAATCGTTGACCATCGCTGCAAGCCTGCAACTACAAGTCTTCATCTTTAAGGTTAGATTCTCGAAATCTCAAACTGTTACCTCCATCTATTAATCTCTCGAAGCCTGCATTAAAATGTCGATTTTTGACTGGTACCTCCATGACTGCAACTAAAATCTCTCGAATCCTGCAACTAAAATGTCGATTTTTAATAGTGTTGATTAATCAAATTTGATTTACTGCCCTGTATCTGTATGTGTTCTTATTCCTATGGCATAGTTAATATTAAACCGTATTTGTGAATTTTTTAATAGTGTTGATTAATCCATTTTTTTGGATAAAGTGCATCTGCTACTCCACGATATCTGTATTTGTGAATTTTTAATACTATTTTACTAATGCTACTCCACGATATATGCAACTCCACAGTCCATGTAGTCTATTGTTGTAAAGACTTTGAAGTCTTCCACTAGCACTTGCATGTATTAGAGTGGTTATTTTTTGTGTTTTATGCTGTCAAAAGTTCATTGTTTTCTTTTGGATGTTATTGATTTATCTTTTTTGTCTAAAATTTACCCTATGACTTATATATCTTTTTTGGAAGTTCAAAATTATTTATATATCCTTACAAATTTAGAAATTGCATATATGTCCTTCTAAGACTTATATATCCTTACAAATTTAGAAATTTACAAATTTAGAAATAAAATAAATTAACATAAGCAATTCAGCAAAATATGAGTTTGGATATATTTGTAATTTTTATAATTTTAGATGGACATGTATGTTGTTTTAAATTTTGTAAGGATATTGATGTAATATTGAAATTTTGTA